AGGGTCAAATTCAAAATGGAAATCTGCTCTAGGAAAAGAAAATAGAATCTTTGGTGAGAAACCAGGAACAGAATATGTGTCAATTCCTGTGTCTTCTCCTTCCTTTCTGTACCATTACTCCAGCAGAAAATTGGATAGGGAAGTTCTGGTGTTTATCAACTAGAACAAAACCCTGCAGAATTATGGAACATCACCTCATTTAGAGTTCCCATATGCATTTGCAGACATTACTGAGATAATATGATGGTTCCTGGAAATCTAAACCATAGATATAAGCAGGGTGTATTCAGGATTTTACAAAGGGGGATGTGGGAGTGGCAACCAGCACTACAGGGATGGCTGTACTTCCTGCTCCCAGCCTTCTTTTCCCTCCCCAGCTTGCTTCACTGGGGAAGATAGACTGTATGAGGGAGCAGCAGCCGGGGGCCTTTTTAAATCTTGAAGAAAATAGAAGCCCCCTTCCATTCATCTCCTTGCTTAGAGGCGTGCTCCCTTCCCTCCCCTCTACTCCTTTCTCCTCCCCTCTCCCACCACCCCTACCTACTGCTGCCAGTGTCTCTGCTGTCTCCACCATCCTGGGGGAGAGATCTGGGTTGTGTGAGGCTTGGATGGGTTTCCCTTCCACATGCCTCCTTTCTTGGGGGTCCCAATCACCCTGGTTGCTCATCCACTCCTGGCACTGCTGCTGCTGTCCTGGGCTGAGCCCAGCTGCCACGTAGCCCTGCCAGAGCAGGATACAAGCTTCACTCACCCCCAGGACAGCAGAAACAGTGGGGACAATGGCAGTGGCAGGTGGGGGAGGAGGGGAATGAGAGGTGGGGACAGGAGATGAGAGGGGAGCAGACACGTGTCTGAGCATGGAGGGGAAGAGAGTGGAGGGATTCTTACCTTCTTGGGGACTTGAAGTCCCTGACTGCTGCTCTTGCTGTATGTCAGAAAGGAGAGGTGGGCCATGCCACTGTATCCCTTCTGGATCTGCCCCTGAATACAAATCAGAAGTGGAACATAACATGAAATAACATAGGGCCTGATCCAATACCACTAGGGCAGCTAGCTTTTGCTTTATAATGAGGTTATTCGTATTCAAGAGTAAAGCTTGAGCTGGCTGAGACAAAGGCCATGTTTAACTAAAAACACTGGGTTCACTTCAACTTTCCCTTCATTGGCTGTTGTTATGCTCATCATCTTTGTCTTTCTGAAGTCATAGTGGTGAAGGTACAGTGGAATATTACCTCTCTTTTTATGGGAATTGTATTTGTTTCACTCTAAGCCATGTTCTGATGCTAGTAAGTGCCATATAAATATTTTAAATAAATAACAAATTTTATATTCAGAAACTGTTTAGACAGATGCCAGCTGGTTGCTGCCAAACACTGTTAGTCATTCATTTTTCCTTGTCTCTGTCTTGTGGGCACATTTACTGTAACTACCTTTCCCTCTCCATTATGGATGTTTTATTACTCTAGCATATTTTACCTATGCTTACACAATAAATTAATATATTTTGTGTGAAGAATATGTCAGTTTGTGTTTTTGTTTGTACCTCTCATGAGAGAAGCAATGAACTCGGAGGGGGCGGGGGAATATTTATTTGCTTTTTTTTAGATGTAAATTTTCTCTTCACAGCCCCTCAGAGCCCTGAGAATCCCTGCTATTTTCCATTAATTTTATTGCATTAATTCCGATATATTTGATTAGTTAGCCCTCCAGCCAGAGAACATCACACGTGGCTGTGGTTCTGAACAAAATGGTCGCACCGGTATATTTGGCCTTTACGCTAGTGCAAAAGAGGACTAGATGGGCAGTACACACCTCTCCGTCAGGGTGAATTCAGACAATCTGGTGTAGAATTACTCTTAAGAACATCAGAAGTACTATACTGGGTCAGACCAATCTTTCCACCTTGCCCAGTAACCTGTCTCTGACAGTGGACTGAGTAGATGCTTTAGACAGAGAGCATTGAACTGGATATATCTAGAGTCCTCAATCCCTTATTCATTATTTTCCCTGGTATCCACCATTATTGGAGATGCCAGAGAACACATCTTGAACAGTTCTGTTCAACGGCTATTAACAAATCCATCATCCATGAATTTGTCCTATTCCTTTTTTTGAACCAATGGTAGAGGCTATGCTATCTGCTTCTACCATTGCTTGTGGCAAAGAATTCTGCAAGTTAATTACGCATTGCATTAAAAAGTATTTTCTCTTATTAGTTTTAAACCTGTCTCCCACTAATTTCAGTGGGTGCCCCCTAGCTCTAGTATTCTGGGACTTGGTGAGTAACAGTTCCCTGTTCACTTTGTCCACACCATTTATGATTTTATGGACCTCTATTATATCCTCCCCTCAGCCTTCTGCTTTCCAAACAAAGAGTCCTCGCTTTTTCAGTCTCTCCTGGTATGGAAACTGCTTCATACCCCTGATCATTTTGGTTGCCCTCATGGATGACTGGTGCCTCTTGAGTCAAGGGGCACATGTGCCCCCCTTGACACCATTCAGCATCGGGGGAGTCCCCCAGCAGCCAATCCCACTGACTGGGGGGAGTGGGGGGCGACACTTTTGTGGAGATGCAGAGAACAGAAATGTATGCAGTATTTAAGGTGTAGGTGCACCATGGGTTTGTAAAATGGCATGATGAGGCTCTCCATTTTAATTTCACTGCTCTTCTTAATGATTGATTACCAACATTTTATTGGTCTTTTTAGCCACCACTGCACATTGAACTGACACTTTTAGAGAACTATGTACAATGATTCCAAGGTCTCTTTCCTGATTTGTAACAGCTAGTTCAGAACCCAGCATTGTGCACATATAATTGAGGTTATTTTTTCCTATGTGTATTATATTGCACTGTCAACATTGAAATTCATCTTCCACTTTTCCCCCACTCACTTAGCTTAGTGAGATCTTTCTGGAGCTCCTTTCTGTCACCTTGGGATTTGATTACCTGGAATAATTTGGTATCATCTGCAAACTTGGAGATTTCATTGTATACCCCCATTTCCAGATCATTGGTGAAAATGTTGAACAAAATTGGGCCTAGCACATTTCCCTGTTGGACCTCTTTTTACATACTTCCCTCCTGAAAAATGACCGTATAGTACCCTTTGCTTCCTACCTTTTTACCAGCTCTCAATCCATGACAAACTTCTCTCTGATCCCATGGCTGTTTCTTTTTTTAAAAAGCCTTTGGTGAGGGACCTTGTCAAATGCTTTTTGGAAGTCCAAATATGTCAACTGGATCCCTCTTGTCCACATGCTTAACATCTTCAAAGAACTCTAGCAGACTGGTGAGGCAGGATTTCTATTTACAAAAACTACGTGGACTCTTCCCCAGCAGATCATATTGGTCCATGTAACTGCTATTTTTATTCATTATAGTAGCTTCCACCAATTTGTCAGGGATGGAAATGAGACTCACTGGGCACGTCTACTTGAGACGTTCACTGTGGAATTGCCTAATTAGCTCCATGGAAAATGTCTGAGCATCTACATGGGCAGAGCTATTAGGCTGGAGTAACCTAATAAACTCTGCTGCAGATTAGTACTTGTAAATACAAGTACTATCTTATGGCAGTGTTTTTTACTCTGCAGCAGCACACATATAGACACTGACAGGGCTGGCTGGGGCACAAGGGTGCTTCTGTGTGTGGCACTGCTGGCTGACCTCTCCAGCCCCTACCAGCCAGGGCTGCTGTAACTTGTCTCAATGTGCTGCACTCCTGGGTGCATGTTCAAACACAGTGCTTGGGTGCAATAAACTCCAGCGCAATTTGTGGAATTTGTGGCTCATCCTTTGAAGCAGGTTTTTGTTTTTAATGATGACTGAGAAATATCCAAGTAGATTTGTTCTGTGTTATGTCTGAATTAATGCTGCCAACATGAAGTTGATTTTGTAGAATAATCCTTCTCAATCCTTAATTCAATTCCCATTTTATTAGTGAAATTATTTATTTTAAGGTTAAGACCAGTTTTCAGAATGCTTAGAGGGTTCTCTTATAAAATATCCTAAAAGAAAGTATTCAGATTATTGAAATTATTAGAGAGAAAAATACAGTGAATGGGCAACCTAAAAAGAGTCAGAGATCATGTTTGGTTTAGTTAACCACCTGACTGCTCTAATGCTATCCTAAACTTGCCCAGGCTATCCAAATGATACATGAAATATAGTCAGAAAGTTTGATACCAAACTTTCTAACCGCATTCTAGACTGCACCCAATTCAAATCTACTTTGAAATGACAAATGCAGAGGTGTATGAAAAAAAATGGGACCAAATATTTGACCCAATGATTTCAGGGCTGCCAAAGAATTAGGAAGAGGGCAGTGAGTTGTTTTTAATGTTGTTTTGTGGGTTTTTAAAGTTTTGTTTTTTATGTGTTTTGTGTTCTTCTGTCTTTAGCAAGGATGTCATATTTATGTAAAACTAGATCTCTTAAAACTGAATTCTCATTTGTTACGTGAAAAATTATATTTCTTCAGGTATCTTCACAACAAGCTTTGAACTACTGCTGAGCATTAGCTGTCTGATGTTTTCTGCTCTAAATACAAGAAGGTTTTCTAGACCTAAATACAAGCTTTTGCTGGAAATGAAATGTGAAGAAATGATACTTGTTTAGGGAATACTAATCCTTTCTCTGATGTCTCAGCCTTTCAATGCAGCCTTTGCATCCAGATTTTCTTGTTTATCTGGCAGTTCATTATTTAAGGCTAGCCTGTCAAAATAGGTTACATATTCTTTGGGAAACTGGTCACATCTTTGAAACACAACAAATATGTTTAATGTAGAAAAGATTGGCTTGATAAGAGAAATATGATAAACTTGCATCACCAAAAATACTCCTCTGTCATTCCATTCGGATTTCTAAGGACATCAATAAGCAATGACAAATCTCATGGCAATACATTTCTGCAAAAAGCACAGAGACACCAGCAAAGCAGTGAAAATGATTGCTGATGATTTGTTCTAACTACTTGACATTCTGACCTCTTCTCCAGATATATGACCAAGATGGGACACTGCAGCACTTTATTGATGGTGGAGAACCCAGTAAGTCAAGTTGGATGAGGTATATCCGATGTGCGAGGCACTGTGGCGAACAGAACTTGACAGTAGTTCAGTACAGGTGAAGTACATTTCAATGTATTCACTAACCCCCCCACCCCAAAAAACAAACAAACAAAAAACAACCCCCCCCCACAAAAAACCTTTAAATAAAAAACCCAGAAACATAGCTGTCACTGGTTCATAAAGCAAATTCCAAACTAACAATGTGCTTTTCTTGAATCCCTTCCTTCTGTATCATAGAAACATGGCATTATAGATTTGACTTTTTTGATAGGAGTGAGGGACACCATAGGGCTGATTCTGAATTCAACAGTGCTCTTGAGGTCAAAATCAGGCCTGTGTCATTAATTGCAGAACATGCATGCACATTGCAGTGCACAAAGCAATCTACACAACATCCTTTGCAGGTTGCTCTAGAAGATTTGGTGAGCTTGTCTTCCACTCTTACTGACAGATAAAAGGGCTGAAGGACAAGGAAAAGGTCTCACTTGAGATGAAAGCAGCAGAATTTTGAATGCCAAACCCCTTAGGGAGTCATGTAACACATCTGCACAGAAGATGCATCTGCTGATGCACCTGTATGGCAAGATGGTTTCATGGCATTATGTTGTGTTAAAACAAAACAGAACAAACATGAGAAAAGATATATAAAAAACTGATGGCATCTACTCCTCTTCCCACCAACAAAACTAAAAAAACTAGAAAATGTGTTGCATAAATATATGATCTCAGCTATAAACAAGTCTTCCCTCTTCAGAATAAGAAGTGACTGCTTGGCTTTCTTAGATATTATAGCAGGAACATCAAAGAATGCCTTGTGTTTTGTAACCAAGCTGAGTGCTCCTGCCTTTGGCTGTTTATTTGGGGTTATCCTTTTTTAGTGACAAATCTTAAACTTATTTATAATGTTGTAAACTTTTTAACAAACATGCAAAATCAAAATAAAATGACAGATGTACAAAGTCTGATGTTTTCCCTAAGGGTTCAATTTAATAACAGTAACAGGGTCCAGTTAAATGTTTTAACATTCTTTGTTTCTGGGCAATTATCTAAATCAGTGGTCTCCAACCGTTTTAAGTAGGAGATCACCTTTGGCATTTAAAAGCAACCCAAGATCTACTGTGTGCTGCTGCCACCCCCCATCCCCTTGCCTCAAGTTACTTATCCCAATTTTC